CGCTTGGTGTATATGTTTTGCGTTGATAGGCAATCCAGCTGATTGCCAAGAACAAACTTCAAACGCACCGAAAGAAAGCCGATTTCTCTCTCTCTCTCTCTCTCTCTCTCTCTCTCTCTCTGTCGTCTTACCTATTTACAAAGTATACGAGCAATTTTTGACGGTATAGTTGTTCGTCTAAACCTCGCGTGCGACTGATATAATTATTATTTTTTATATCCCATTTCTTTTTCTTATGACAACTTTTTAAAAAAGAATAGCGCGGGTGTAACTGCTGTTTTGTATTTTGTGTTGCTTTCTTGTTTGTTATTTGGATGCCACGTATATCTTTGGTTTGATTTGTATGGATACAAAATGAGTATGGAAGGAAAAGGGTTTTATATAATCTATAATAAAGCTAGCGGTAAATTAGTTGGGCATAATTTAGTAAAAAAAGATGATGCGATAGAACTGGAATATGCGATTCAACGGCGATTAAAAAAATAATAGAACACACGGAAAGAAATCCACACTATACGTACAAGTCATAGTAAAACAATATGAAAAACCCTTTCATGGCTGAGTAGCACGCGCGAGATATCGTCCCCTCGGCTCGAGTAGCTTCTCTCTTTTTTTCAAAAACTGAAAAGAGACATACGATGAAAAAAGGTAAAGTTGAAAAATGTTTTTTTTTTTACAGCAAGTAGCATACAGTTTAAACATGTATTTTCGTTTGTACCGAGCCACTCAATTCAGGAAGTAATTACTTACAAACGTTTATGAACATTTGCATCTTGTCTTAACACTGGAGGGGTGTTATCTCCTCAAAGAGTAAGCTCGTCTACGAAAACAGCGCGCATCAGTGGGCGAAGAGTAACTTAAAAAACGTTGTATTCTCTTTGCCGAAGCTTATTAGCGCGCAACGCTCGACTTCTTGTGTACGTAATGCGTGAGTGTCTCTTTATCTGCAAGCTTCAAACGCTCGATTACGATGATAAATTGAGTGGTATGCACATCATGTTAAATTGATTGGAATGGAATATGACAGTCAAAGTCATTGATCAAACACAAACAGTCGATGCTAAATGTAATAACATGAATTTCTAATACGCGAGAAAGAAATATAGTAAATATTCTACTAATAAGTTAATTATGCAACAGCCGCGACTACTTGAAAAATCAATGTCATGCAAATAAGCTTTTTGAATATGCATATTATTAGCATTTTTAAAAACGTAGATCAAAGCCATTTCTTAAGAGGTAAAAAACATGCAGACAAGTTGCATAAAATATTAGCTGTATAAATTTGCATCTACTGTGCCGTGCCTTAATTATAAGATTTCCCGAGTTTATCGAAAAGGTCAACAATTTCAAGGTAACAATCATAAAAAATTTCACTGCTTTTTAAAAAAAAAACTCTTAATAATTTCTATCTATCCAGATAAATTTTGTAAATTAGTATTAATAAACGTTACATCCAAAGCAATCATTAATGCAAACACAGTTTTTTCACAAAAATATATAACAAGTTAGAATTATAAAAATGACTTTCCTACAGAAACTTGCAACAATGACGAACGATTATACTTTAATAAACTTTTACACCATCAGTGAATAACTTTCTCGAACACAGCCAATTCTTGCTCAACATAGAAATAAAAGATTGTCTTCTTGGTAGTCAAATGGCACTATCAGAATTCAACCTTAGGTCTTGGCAGCTAACCAATCACGACAGTTTCCATCGCACCTATTTAACGCTCGCGCGTTGATCGTCAACGCGCCGTTAACAGAGTTGCTCTATCGCGCTCACGGAGTATTGAGGGACATTTGAATAAGTTGTTCTGAGTCCCATTCATTTAAGGTCGCTTTCGCACTACTCGGCTGCCAGGATCGATCTAATTATGTCGTTTTCGACGAAATCCGTCCAACGCCTCGCAACGCCTCGCCCTAAGTAACCCCCTCCATGACTTCTCCTTCATTCTCCCCATAACTCTCTCTCTCTCTCTCTACCATTCGTAAGTCTAACAATATAAGCCTTAGTAATAATGAGGAGGCCCGAAAAAAGGGAGTGCGAATGGGGTGGGGGTCGTCGTCGTCATCGCTGCGCGCGCGAGGTGCTGGACTGACGTTTGAATGGGCACTATAGAGAGGATGCCATTGTGCGACTGTGGGCCCAAGGTAATACGACACGCCACCGTAAGAATCGTTCTCGAAATTCGTGCGCGGCGACCGCGTGCCACACCGGCCTTCCTTCTTCGTCTTCTTCTTTTTGCTCTGATGTTTCTCTTTCTTCGAGATTTCGTTCTGTTGTTGCTTGGATCCGACTGTCGATCATAGCTCTTGGCATTCTCGCGAGAAAACACATGGTCCTCGGATGTTGCTGCCAGCTAAATTGGTCTCTCTTCGACTATACTTCAGCCTTTCTTATTTTTGAATGCTCATCCAAGTTAATATGAGCGTCAAGCATCCAAAAAATAATAGTACTAATAATACCAGCAATCCTTTTTTTGGCCCCTTTTAATCAAGTATTCAGAATAAGTTAAATACCCCTATATTATACCAGTTGTTTGACATGAAAATTGTTACGACTGATAGAACTGAACTTAATAACAATGCTGCCGGGCACTGAAATAAAAAGATCTCTCTGTTCATCCAAGCATAATAGAAGATAGCGTTTGATAACTCTTAAAAAAATTTTGACAAAATTGAATGTCAATGGGCCAAGGAAAAAGTGACTGAATGCGTTTTCGGTATTTTTAGAACTTCAACCGAAATAAAGTCGTCAGTGGCCTTAAATCGGAGAACAATTCTGAAGAGAAAGGCGCTATTCTTACGTCTTTTTTTCGCGGCTCTTTGTACCACGTCGAGGCATTACGGCAATGCCCAGCCGCGACACTTGCTCATTATACCACTAATTATTCAAGGCACTCGCGTATGGACTTCTCTACGTCGGCCGGCTCTCCTAATAAAAATATACGTATAAGCCGGCAGAAAGAGTACTTCGAAGTTCAGTCGGTCTTCTCGATTCTACTGTTTTCTTTTTCACTCCTTCGTCCCTTTCTGCACTTATTATCTCACTCGAGGGCGACTTAAAGGCAGACTCGAGACAATTAACTGCGATTTTCCTTTTATATAATGAAAAAGAAGGCAAGAGATAGCGAGGAACTGTGCGCTGTACAATTAGCACGAGCGTTTCGGGCGTTGAAAATCGAATCAAACTTTTGAGGGGCAGAGTATATCGAGTCATTGCGCAGTCGAATAAGAGACTTCCTTGAAACGGAGATAATGGAGTAATAGGAGCGATGGAAATTCGACGTTCGCAGGCAAGAAGAGAGCAAGAGAGAGAGAGAGAGAGAGAGAGAATACTCGCTTTTTCGTCTCCTCGTCTCCGACCCCTCATTAGCGTCGTTACCTTTGGCTATGTGTTGAGCGCGCAAGTCAATTTGCCAGTAGCTATAACAACGACATAAATCAGCGTCTAACAAAAGGAAAGCAAAGAAAAGAATTGGTAAATTGTGAGATGTATATTGTGGGTGGGTAACGACGTCGGCCGATCGCGTTGATGCGGCGTTAATTAATTCGTTTGCGACTGTCTAGATAGCCACGAGTCCGTATAACGGCCCGGTTTCAAAGTCTGCGCAGGGTTGCCCATGTAACTGTGAATGGGACGAATGCTGCCATTATACTCGTGAAATTTAATTCGATATTGGTGGAATTTTCTCGATGGATTAATTGGAATTAATTGGAATAATCCCGTAATTAAGATTTTAATGGATTGACTTTTAATGAACGTAAAATGTTTTTAATTAAATTCTTTGCGAGATGGAGGGTTTTCTTTTCGTACTGATAGGCGAGTGAATTAAGAGGTCAATTTCGACGTGTACAGTCTAATTCAGCTCGCGAACAAAAAAAAAGAACCCTAAGCGACCAAGTTATGCCATGCCCCATTTCGAGTATTTCTACCTAAAAATGCTCGAGTCGAAACTGCAGTGCTACACACACACACACACACACACACACAAACACGTAAAGCGAGAGTAGCTTGCACAAAGGTGTATCGATTTTCGGTAACTCGATCTTGAGTGGCTCTTCGTTGCAGGCAAGCAAGCAACGCGTTAAGTGCTTCTTTCACGTGGACCGATAGGTCAATTAATTTAGCTGAGCTGCTCACTGCCTACAAGACGCATCGCGTATCTGACATCTTGATGGTTTCATCGTGTCATTGGTTATCTGCACTTCATTGTGCAGTGATGCTATCGACTCGCGAGACGAAACTGCTGCTGCATTCATTCGAGCTTCCATTGGCAAATACTGTTGATTGTTGACTGACGCCGAATTGACCGTGGCGTCAATTGGAAAATGCCAAGCGCTATAAAGTCGGCGTTGTGTCGAACTATTGGGTGATTTTATTAGTGATTGCTAGGTATGCAGCCGTTGTTGGTCGCATTATTGCAATTCAATTCAAATGCGAAATCTACATTTTTCCGTTGTTGCACTATATGTGATCAATTTAATTTAATCGGGACATATGGTACTTTTTCCACTTATGTTAAATTGTATTTGAAAACGCTTATTTGCTAAAGTGCCGGATGCATCGGTTGAACCATTGCAACTTTATCAAAATATTTTATAGATATTGGGCATTGCATTATGAACATTGCTGCCTTCTGAACTAAATCAGAATCTACACATACTCAATTCTTCTTATTGAATCGCCATTGAATATTCGTTTAGTTTTAGCAACATGACACATGTACATTGAAAACAAATAACTATCAAGCATCAACTCCATGTAATTATAATAATGTCATAGATTTTGCTCATTAGTATTATTGATAGAATGAATTAGTTTCGACCATTATATGGTTGCAAAACAATATATTACTGAAATGACATTTTAGAAACTAGAAATGAGATTAAATTTTTGCCCAGAAGCTTTCTTGCGGAACAGCACAGAAGCATCCATGAGCACTTGTCGATCATCGATATAAATAAATATTATGAAACGTGAGCTGTCTTACCATGTGGTGAACTGTGTTGAGTGGGACTGCCTTGATGATGATTGGCCGAGACGCCGGATCCAGGTAGCATGTGCTGCGCGTGTGCCGCCGGATGAACGTTGAGACTAGCAGTTGACTGGCCAGCCAACTGTCCGGGTTGATGCACTTGATGATGCGCCATGTGATGAGCCGGATGAGGATGATGATGTGGCGGTGGTAGAAATGCAGCAGCAACGGCAGCCTGGGCATTCAGATAAGCCATCCGCGAGGCTGTGAGATTGCCCAGATTGCCGAGGTGATTCGTCAGCGGTGCCATGTAGTCCCAGAGCTTGTGATGTGGTGCCGTCGGGGCATACGACACGGCGCTAACACCAGCCGGCGGCGAGCTCTGTGGCGAGCTACGCCCGCTGTTATTGTTGTTGCTGCTACTGTTGTTGTTGTTGTTGGCGGCGGCCGCGCCAATCGGGTTGCCGGCGCCATTTAGGCCCAACAACTCTTGGATGGCGAAGGGCGAGCGCTGGGGCATCTTCGCGTCCGCGCGCGAGCCTGCCTCAGGCCTGCATCCTCCGCTCAGGTCGACCACGTCCACGCTGCTTCGATTCAGGATTGTCGTCGTTTGGGGGATTATTCGTCGCGAGCGCGCGACGCTTATCACCCGATTTCAACTGTGATTAGAATATGACTTTTTGATTCCGTTTTTATTCTTGTTATTCGCGTTTTGAATGCCGACGTCCTCGTTGTAGGTTTTCTCACTTTTACGTTGACATTAGTTCTTGTTTCATTAAAGACCTCGTTGCGTATCTTCGGTATAACCATCAACTGTATTTCGTTGCGCGATGTATAGGGAGAACTTATATCCCTTCTGTGTAATCCTGTAGGAACTTGACTTCGTCTTGACTTCGTTGTGTTGTGAAGAGAGCTAAAAACTTTTTAAAATTCTACCGACGGACGCTAACCGAGTCACTTGAGACGGTTGCTAAGCAATGTCGAGTGTCTTGTGAAGCTGACGACTCGAGCAGGGGCATCTCTCGTCATCCGTCGGATCGCATCTGCCGACTGCGAACGCACGTTTTGGCCTTTTCAAGGATTTATTTATTATTTTTTCAAGCTTCAAATAGGTTGATTTGTCTAACGTATTTCGTTGATTAGTTCATCGATGTAGCTACAATATTCCAAGTATTTTTGAACAAGTGTTTAAGTACTTTTGTATATCTCCATATCCCGTTATAATTTCCACCAGATTTTTACAAGTCAGGTAAACTAAGAAAGTGCAAGAGTAATACTGATGAATTCATACGAGTCACGATCCGTCGGCACATAAACCATGTGAATACTGAGCGACGGAGAATTGATTACTCCTTTGATTCATGGGTTGGTTAAAATATCGTTTTTCTTATACTACGTACAATGTTTTCTTTTAGTAGCAAAAAAATTTTCGTGATTACAATTCTAAGTATAAGCTACCTAGGTGACTTTGAAGACTTGCCACTTTGAACGGCTGAATTCTATAGAGAACTAAAAAAACAAAAAAAAAACAAGCGATTCCACTTGGTCTACTGATTCATAACTGTCGCGGGGTATTAGATTGCTTGGAAGCTAGAGAAACGAACCCCTTCAGTTTTTTTCTCTTTCTATGTCAGCTTGATTGTAGCAAATATAGTTAGCCGATGGCGATAAAAGTTTGCTCTCGCTGCTGGGTGTTAAGCGCGAGGCACGGAATTCTATTGTATGCGCACACAGCAACGAGGTCTCACGTTTCACGGTCGTATCGTTTTTTTTCTCTTTCTCTCTCTCTCTCTCTCTTCTGCCTATTTGGTCCCTCTGTTCTTTCGTAGCTCGACGTATGTAAGCTTAGCGCAAAAAGCCTCGGATGCTGGACGCGGAAGTCCAAGCAACTGATTCGCAGAATTCTCTTCTTGCACGGTCTTTTCTTTAAAATTCCTTTTTTGTAATATGTATAACACACTACGCGCTCGGTTATTGTTTACGCGTATCACAACTGTCACGGCGCGCACGCACTATGTCTGTCAAAATTATCCCAAAGTTGCACTGTCAAATCTTATTCGTTCCTTTTAAATGCTGTTTTTTAAAGGTCCTTACGGGTTCGAGATAGCAAAGGTTGGCAAATAATAGATTGTTTATTAGTCATCTTGGGCGACACGTTTGAGCACGGGCACATGATCACAAATACGACAAGAAGCGCGAGAGCTCACCGAGTGTTTACGTCTGCAATTGCATGCGCAGATGCATGCGTGCACGCAGACCGTCGTACTCGGCGCCTCGCGGTTAGCTTGAAAAAAAAATGTGTCCGTATCGTAGTCGCGGCCGTGTGCAACTGAACGAGAGCCGAGTCTCGTCACGTTGGGGTGGCTCTTCTCTTTCTCTCTTTCTCTCTCGTTTGGGTTCTCTCACTCCCTCTTTCGTGCGACGCGCTCCGGGGAAGCCCCGGCAAGAATCGCTTGCGCGCGCACGCGTGCGACAGAGCCAGATGAAGATGGAATGAAGAGGGTGGTGGTGGAGGCGGGGTAAGTAGGTATCTAAGTGGGGGGGGGGGGGGGGGCACATCTCCCCACTCCGTTCATATGCCCCACCCCCGTTACCCCCACTTTAAGGGGTAAGTATGTGCGTGGGGGCGCGTAGCATGGACGCTCGCGATGTTAAGTAGGCGCACGCGGCCGCAACAGTGGCCGTCTCGCATTGGCGGATTGGTCGGTTTTTTCACACTAAGACGCCCGATGGGCTCCATAGCCCTAGTTAAGGAGCGCAGTCCGTAGTGGTGGGGGAGTCCAGGGAGAAAAGGTGGGTACTGCCAATGCACACGCCTGCCTCGGTGTAGCCTCCCCTGCTCCTTTACTCCTGGTGGCTTCTGCATCGCTAATTCGCTTCTTCTCCACTTTCTGCCAAAAGGAGTCATTGACGACTTTACTGCTCACGCCTACGACCGGGCATCAAGACATTATGCACTTTAAATAGTATGGCAGAGATTTTTCTCAATGTGGCATTCTCCCATACACTATGGATTTGTTCGCTAAGCTGGTAGCTTAGTAATATGAATATATTATTATTATTTTCATTACTAATAATAATTCTTATTGAATTTATTTTAACAAATTTACATACTTATTGTGTATTTCATCACAAAATTTAATTTTTAACAAAAAAAAACCAAATATTGCCTTACACTCATATACACAAAGGTTATCATTGAGAATGAAAATTATATTATTTATTTGATTTTGTTTTCTATTTCACGTTTTGTCAGTACCATGACATTTAAAAAATTGTGTACTATAATACTATAGATAATAGCGAATATTTTAGTTAATTTCGACACTAATCTAAATTTGTCATAAATGAAAATAATTGAAAATAATGTCAGAGCTAAATAATTAATTTTTAAAAATGAGTGTGATACTAGTGTTGATTGCATGTAACGACTATATAGGTTTATGGAAAAGTTATATGAATTTATTACGAATTATAGAATTTTTTTCCAAATCCAATAATATTTTTATATGTAAATTAGCTATTGCATATGTGAAGAAGCCCACGTTTTACTTTTTGCAAGCCCATACTGAGAAGTAACATCTGATGCCGTGCAATACATATACCCACAACCTCTGCTAACAAGGTGGGAGTGGCCTAAAGAGGGGAGGCTGGCCAATCGGAGAGCGCTACTTTCACTTCTCATTGGCCGAGGCGCAAATCGATTTACAACTTACTCCTCGACGTGCTACTCAGGCTTGTATCACCACGAGCTAGGGTTGCTCTTCGTAACTCCGGATTGAAAACTTACACCACTAATTTACAGTGGAGTAGTGGGTATACCGAATTCGGGTGGGGGCAGCAGGGGAGTTGCCTGGAGTTCACTCCAACAACAATAAACATTTATGGAAAGTAAGAAAAGTAATTTTTTATGAGAGTTCCCGTTGAAATTTGAGTAATGACTTCGTCAGTTCTTTTACTTCTTTCCATTTCACATTGTCTTCTTCTTGCTATCCTCATTTTTTTCTGCTATTTGTATATACCTTGATCAATCTTTTATTTCTGTTAATGTTTATTTCATATTTTAACTTCTTATTTATTTCTGAAAAATTTATAAAAACTATATTTAATTTTTTGTTGTTATATTAAACGTTAGAGTAAAATTTTGTTGGGCAACGATTTTAATATCATTAAAACTATTTTTAATAAAAATAAAATTATCTGTGACGGCAGCTAAATATTCAGATAAATATTTACATTTCTTTTAAATATGTATGATAATCTTTGTTTAAATTTTCTCGCCTGCTTTTTAGCTTCCTTCACGCTGTTCTGAATTAGTATAAGTAAAGAAAGAAAAACCTTTCGACGTTTTGTGATTCTCCTTAGAACTTTATAGTAAATAGAACGAAACATGGCTTTGTGTCCAATAGTAAAAACGCCCAGTCAACCAAATTATACATAATATTTTTCTTATAAGAATGTGAATGATTTAATAAAAAGTGTATCAATCTCCTGGATGAAGTTGGTTTCTGATATCAATTTTCAAAAAGAATTGAACTTAAATGTGCACTTACATCTTGAAGTTGATCACGTTTTCGGTCGAAAATGAACGGATCTCCTCGCCGTTTCGAGTAGTTTTAAAGTTCATTGAGATAATCAGACCAATTACGACAATATAGTTACTGTAGACTGCAGAGAACTTAAATTATATCGATCCCAAATTGATAAAAGATCTGCGAACGCCTAGGAGCGGCACTGCAACGTCACCTAGCAGCTTATTATGTTTCGTTTTGATTATTATTGGAAGGAACTCCTTCACGTTCGTATTTCAGTTATCATTTGAGATGATTTAAATTACGTATTTAGTAATTTATTAGTAAAGGGGACTGTAGTGTAGAAAAACAAGCAACAATTATTGAATTAACAGATAAAAGTTTTTATTAATATTTGACCTTTTCTTTTTTCTATTCTTTTTCGAACTGATAATCTATTCAATAAATTTCCTAATTCCATGCTATATTGGTTCTGTATGTGTATGGGACAGAGTAGGATCTACCAGAAAAGTTAGGATCCATAATCCACATGTCGTCAAATTTTTTGGATTTTTAGTAACAAGCCTACGCTGGTTCCAATTGTATATTTGAAGACAGAGATTGTTTTGAATTCAACATATTATGGAATACATTATGTTACTACGCAGTTAATCGCCTGCGATTATATAAAACTTAATTTATATAATATGGTGTTCAATGATAGTACACAATAAGTATTAAATATAAACCTTTATTATTCAAATGTACACATTAGCTGAGGACCGAACTCGTCGATGGCTCTTAGCTAACTAAACTAACTATGATCGCTGGTAGCTATTTATTTTCTTGAAACCCAAAAATCAAGAGCGAAAACTCTAAAGGAACGAAAGAAAATAATGTTCACTCAAATGAGCATAGCCTGACGGCCTCATGAGAAACACATATGACTAAGGCCATAAAATCTGCGTACAATTCGAAATGCGACCGGAGAAAACAGCTATTTTCATGTGGACTGCACCTTTGGAACACGCGTTGACGCTTGTTGCGAATCACGTTCCGAGTAATACTTAAATATTATACAAACGCAAATTATAAACATAGAACTATATTAAAACTAATAATACAATAACGTGAATAAATGACATTAAAATTATTAACATTGTACACATTATATCTATTTTGATGGAAATACAGATTCACTACATACTCACGTTTTTTTTTTCAAGTAAAACCATTCAAATTCAATTTTTTTATTATATTTATAAGAATTTAGTGAATTTGTTTGAATAGGAACTACCATGAGTTTTTTTATAGTACATAATAAAAATTCAAGATATAGATCCATTGACAAAAATTTTTTAATATCAGCACTTCTACGTATTGTTGATGAGAAATATTTTTCTAAAATTTTATTAAAATCAACTTTCCAAATGATGTACACTTTTTATTTTAATAATAAAAGTCTTAACAATTGTTTATAGCTATAAGTAAATAGATTTATGTGATATTTTATGTACTGTTTCTCACTAATATTGCAAAATGTGTAAATACATTCATTAGAAACAAACTACAAATACATTAATAAAATTACAGGTATAGCTTCAACATTTTTTAAAGCACAGAATTAAGTTACTTCATTTAAGAATTAATTTGTGTATATTTAGTTGTTTATCAGGCCATTGTTATTTTACATTAGAAAAAATATTTAAGATAATAATAACTTTCACAAATTCAATGTATTTAACAATTTCTTAGATATATGACTAATATTTTATTTAAGATTAAGTTACAAAGTGCTGATTTAAGATTAACATTGGTTCAGTGGGTAAGAGTTTCAGCCTTTGTACAACGGGTAATGAATTTGAGTCTCAGGTGTGTGAATATTTTTAGAAGTGAAATTCTCCTTTTTTGTTTGATACCGCGCCTCGATAGTTTAGGTTCGGGTTGTACTTTCTATCCTATTCTCTTTGACTACGCGATTTGTGATAATATTCCGTGAATATAATCAACTAATAACTATGTTAATGATAAGTATATATACATTGATGCCTAAACTTACTTGATATTCAATTTTCTTACATATCGTGTATCCACTATTACTAATAATAATCTTTAATTAAGTTTATAATACATATTCATAATCAAGTCACCTGCGATTTCAAAAGTATGACAATATAAAATACGAACGATCATAAAGGGAAATGGAAACTTATAATTATATACATCCAATTATATATATGCTAAAGTTTATAGAATGTAGTTTATAATAATTGAAAGGGCTAAGTTAAGATCATTCTACATTAAGGAGATTCATCATTACTATGAAGATTTCCATTTTTCCCTTTATAGTTCTGATTCTATATTTTCGCCGAGATCAGCAAAATGCTTTATACGTAGCAGTTCCAATTACTTGCTTTCAGCTTGCTTTAATCTATCTTTGCTAAAGTCTGTGAAATCAGCTTTTAACTCTTTGTAAGCGGAAATGCTCAATTTGTTCATTAGATTACTCGGAACTTGATTCATCTTTATAGGTATTCATTTTCCATGGGTCGCAGTCGTGGATTAAGCTTCATTTTTATTTTCAACTTTGTGAGACCATGCCTTACATGTTTTGTAAATCTAATAATTGTAGAAATAGTTGATTCCCGTAAACTTTCTTATGAAAATAAAATTTTTTGTAAACTTTAATTTTTTTATTAAAATTCGTTAGATGAGTTCGAGATCATTGTCAATCTAACATGTACGTAAAGTTTTATATAAGCTCTTATTAACTTTTGGAAAAAATACGTATGGTTATTAG